AACCCTTTGTACGAACAAAAGTAAGAGAAATTTAGGATAAGAATACCAACATGTTCTTGCATGAGGCCCAATGCTTTAGCAGTCTGTACTCATGAGCTAAAGAGCTTTACTCATTTTATTGGGATTTTAAACATTTGAACACAGTTAATCCAGAGCACTGCAGTGTTACTTTTAGATTATATCTTTGTAAACTCCCATCAAATACAGGTGTTCAAGCAAACATAATGCTCAGTGTGATTCCAAGAAAACATCCAGATATTGTCCTACAATTTTGTGTCCCCAACAACCCCAGCCCAGTGAAAAGGAGTTGTTTTGAATCCAGGTTTCTGTGGAAGCTTTTGGAAATGTCGGACACTGGTGTGAAATCACTGGTGTGCTACCAACGTCAGCAGTTTTAGGTGATGTGGACTTGGGGTGGAGATAAAGGCGCCTGCATCACAGAGGAGCAAGAAGAGGTGGGGAACTTCTTTCTAGCAGCAGAGGGGGTTGGGAGATGATTGTTTAATTTTAATTATTGTTTTTTTTAATGTCCTACAGTGCTCTAAAATGTAAAATAAATTTCAAGCAGAGTTTTTGATCTGTCTGTAAATACCTGCAAAATGGTAAAAATCTGTGTAACACTGTCAGACTGATGTCCCAGTCAGGACTTGCTTGTTCTTGTGTTTGCTCAAATACATTCAAATAGATGTTTCTCTACATTACTCATCTCTGTTAGTCTGGGTCCTTTCACCGCTGATGTCCAAGCCTGTATTTGGCCTTACACTAAGAAACACTTTTTTTTTTTATCATTTGTCATCATTAGTGTTCTTGTTTGGTTGCAGGAAGAAGAACTTGAGTGCAGTTGCAGCTGATTTTGAATGTAAAAAGTGAGTTTTTTTTTCCTCCACTGTCACCAATGTGCTGCTCAGGATGGGAGACTGTGACGAAATGAAGATGCAACAAAAACTGCTGCTTCTTTAGATTGTTTTTTGTGCACAGTGCTCTGAGACAACAAATGTTTTGACTTGGCGCTATATAAATGAACTGAATTAAATTGAAATAATGAAGTGTTGGCTGAAAAACAAACATATTTCACCAGGAGCAAACCTTCAGCTTAATGTTAAACAAAGCTGAAAGCAAATCTAACATGTCATCAAATGTAAGAATGTTCAGTATTCACTTATTAGCAAGAAAACAGGCTTCACTGCCAACTCGGTCAGGGTGGGGCTCCCTGTGGGGGCTGTGATGTGGTTAGAGGGATATCTGTGCGGGTGCACACCCAGCAGCTGCGGCCTCTCCTGAATCCTGCTTGGACACTAATTTCATGTTTCAGCTCGGCCGCCTGTCATCAGCATTCTTATCAAAAATACATACCAGACCGTATTCAGAGGACTAGATGCCAAAATACCTCAAGACCACATAAGTGCCAGTGAAAGATGGGGAAGGCATGTTAATAGTGGGCCAAAAGAGGAAAAAGAAAACATGCATGGGACAAAAAGTTGGCTAATTGAAAGTGGAAAGTATGAGTATGATTTACAGTTAGATGTGCAGAACTCCACTTCTTTAAAAGTTACATTTTGGTCATTTAGCTCATCAGTCCTGTCAGATTCAAACCGTTTCTCCAAACTCAGGCTGTTTACAGAGATATCTACAACAGATAAGATATTGTTTGTTCATAAACAAAACACTTCCCCCCTCCCTTCCCCTCCCCTGCTGTCACAATCAGAAGACATGTCTGAACAGATCAGAGCTGCCACAGCACAGGGAGGATGAACCAGATATTTAGAGCCAACAGAGCAACTAAAAGTGTCTGAAGATACAGAACACGTAACAAAACATGTCACAAAATATGTCAAAACGTGTCATAAAACATATCGCAAAACATCATAAAGCATGTAACAAAACGTCAAAATATCACAAAACACATCATAAAACATGTAACAAAACATGATACAAAACATGCCATAAAACATATCACAAAACGTCATATAACATGTAACAAAACATGTCAAAATATCACAAAACACATCATAAAATATGTAACAAAACATGACACAAAGCATGTCAAAACATATCATAAAACATATCACAAAACGTCATAAAACGCAACAAAACGAAACATGTCATAAAACATGTCAAAACATGTCAAAATGACACAAAACGTCATAAAACATGTAACAAAACATGAAACAAAATGTAACAAAACATGTCAAAACGTGTCACAAAACATTTCATAAAATATGTAAAAATGAGTCACAAAACATGTCAAAACATGTCATAAAACATGTCAAAACATGACATAAAACATGTCAAAACATGTCACAAAAAATGTCAAATCGTCATAAAACATGTCTAAACATGTCAAAACATGACACAAAACATGTAAAAACATGTCATAAAACAGGTCAAAACATGTCATAAAACATTAGAAAACGTCATAAAACATGTCAAAACATGTCAAAAACGTCAAAACATCATAAAACATGTCAAAATGTCATAAAACATAAAAACGTGTCATAAAACATGTCATAAAACACAAAACAGGACACAAAACATGTCAGAACATGTCAAAATGTCATAAAACATGTCTAAAAATGTCATAAAACAAGTCAAAACATGACACAAAACATGTCCTAAAACATCAAAAATATCATAAAACACGTCAAAACATGTCAAAACGTCATAAAACATGTCAAAATGTCATAAAACATAAAATGTAATAAAACATGTCACAAAACATGATAAAACATGTCAAAACATGAGACAAAACATGTCAAAACATGCCATAAAACATGCCACAAAACATGAAAACATTGTCCTTGTGCATCTCAGTAATCCAGYTAATCTGGGTAGAAAACTCAAAAAGAAAACCAATAGGTCCTCTGGATGATGATGATGATAATTTATTTCAGTCAAACATTTCACCGACAAGTGCCACAAAAACAAACAAACAAAACAAATAATAATAAAAATAAAACACCATACGTTACTATGATGTACATAATCATTTACATGAAAACACACTACTTTTTCAGTGATTATAAGTCTGAAAAGGAGTACGATGAAGTATAACTTATATTATCATACCCCTTTTCCATTTCTAACTCATCGCATTGTCTTCCAATTTCCAGTATCCTTCTTAACAAAAAATGAAATAACTATAGTAATATTTTCTAACCAGATGAAAGTAATACATACACACCTATATATACATACTCATCTGCACATTTATCTAAATAATACACACCTCTTTACACACCTATATATACATACTCATCTATCTGCACATTTATCTAAATTATACACTTTACACACCTATATATAGTCACACACACACATGCACAAACCTGTACGTTGAGATCGTCCACAAGACTTTACTACCCAGCCAGGTTCATCCCCTTTGTTCATACTTATACTTTTGAATAATAACCATTTTGAGTTCTTTCATAAAATACCTCATGCTTGTGCTTTGCTTCAGTTTTTTTAGCGAGTTTATTCCAGATCTTCACACCAATGACAATGATGGTTTCTTTCTTTTAATGAAACATTTCATCTCTCAGAAAACATGTAACAAAACATGTCAGAAAATGTGAAAACATGCCACATAACATGTCAGTCATCTCAAATCCAGCTAGAAGGGAACAAATATATTTTCAGGGATATCTGAGTGAATCATGACAGCATTAGAATTACACCAAACTGATTTAAAAAAAACATTTGTGATTTGCTCAAGGACGGAATCCATAAAACGTCACATTTCATATAACTGTAATCATG